TATAGACCCTAGGATGTTACCGAGTGAGTGGTACCTGGCCTCTTATGCCCCCTTTATCCTGAAAAAAAAAAACACTTTTTTTTCTACACGTTTTTTTTTGAAATTTTTTTTTTAACAATAAAAGTTTTTTTGGTGAAAAACAAAAAAACCTCTTACCCCTCCTTTAATGGGGGTCCTGTTCAGGGCTTTCTTCTTGGGGGCGGGCCTTGGGGGGGGAGCTTCAGCATCGTTCCCCCTGAAAGCACGCCAGGGCCCCTTCCTGGAGCAAGCAAGACGGAGCCACAGAGAATCCTGGGAGGTTCCCGGGGCTGGGAAGAGAAGTGACGCCCTGGACACGGGCTGGGGGATGGGGCTGTGGGGCTGCCGGAACTGGGGGGGGGGGGCAACCAGGCCGCGGTTCAGAGGGGACAGGGGCGCAGATTTGCGTGACAAGAACCTGATGGAGACCCAGCTCCCCACTAGGTGAATGTACCCAACACATCGACCGTACTTTACCCCCGACACAGAGGGGCTGCCCCAAGGCCCAGGACCGACTGCTCGGCAGCGCCCCCTAGTGCCGCCCTCAGCCGTGTGGGGGCCCTGAGCGTTTCCAAGGCTGCAGACAGCGAGGGTCTCAGGACCCACAGCAAAAAAAAAAAAAAAGCTTTGTGTGCAACACGTTCACAGAGGTGGAATTAAAAGATGATTCCGGTGGGAAACATCCCGAAATTCTCGCACAGATTTTACATAACACACGTTTTCCACGCGCTTTCCCCCTCCTATGCTATGCGTGAATCTCAAAATTTTGTGCATCAAGATTAGCTTTTTATAAAAAGATAAGTTTTTTACCTGAGAGAGAGAGAGAGAGAGAGTCCCATCCCCGGTTCACTCCCCAAATGCCCACCACAGCTGGGGCCGGTCCAGGCCGAAACCGAGAGCTGGGACTCGATCCGGGTCTCCCATGTGGGCGGCAGGGACCCAGCCACCGGCTTATCGATGCTGCCTCCCGGAGTTGGCAGCCGCCGGAAGCTGCAGTCGGGAGCGGGCGCTAACGCCGACGCCTGGGATTTGGTGAGGGACACGGGCATCCTAGCCCGCACCTGACTTCTAGGCCAAATGGAGTCCCACAAACCTGCCCTCTAATCCCCTTTTCCATGAACTTTTTGAAGCCCCTGCGCTCTGAACCAGCCTTCGGATGGGACAGGCGACACCCACGTGGGAGCCGGGCTGCGTGGGCTCCGGGACCTGCCCGCGGGGGTGTCTGTGTCTAGGCCTGCGCAGGAACAGCCCCACAAGCCACTGCCTCCTCACCGCCTGGCCTGGCCTGCCCTTCAAAACCCACGTCTTTCCGAGCAGGGCCTGCTGCCGGGGCACAGGAAATCCACCTCTCCCTGAGAAGGGAACGTGGCCGCCGTTCCCTGGAACGTGCTGGAATCCACACACGCCCCGACCCCAGGCCGGAGCAAGGACTGCCGACTCACGGCGGGGCTGCGAGCCGGCGTTTCTGCCCTGCACCGACACACGTGTGCTCTTTAGCGGAGCAGCGCCGAGGACACGGCTCCCCGGGCCCCCAGGCCCCGCTGTCTGGGAGCGCATCGGGCAGGGGTCCTTCCAGAGGAAGAGCCGCAAGTTTCCAATTCAAAGGTTAAAAAGCAATGCTGGGGCTGGCGCTGTGGTATAGCTGGTAAAGCCGCTGCCTGCGGTGCTGGCATCCCATATGGCTGCCGGTTCGGGTCCCAGCTGCTCCACTTCCCATCCAGCTCTCTGCTGTGGCCTGGGAAAGCAGCGGAAAATGGCCCAAGTCCTTGGGTCCCTGCACCTGTGTGGGAGATGGGGAAGAAGCTCCTGGCTTGGGATCGGCGCAGCTCTGGCCATTGCGGCCAACTGGGGAGTGAAACAGTGGATGGGGGACCTCTCTCCCTCTCTCTCTGCCTCTCCTCTCTCTGTGTAACTCTGACTTTCAAATCAATAAATAAATCTTTAAAAAAAAAAAAAAAGCACTACGGGGAGCCGCTGTTGTGGTGCAGTGGGTAAAGCCACAGTCCCATCACCAGCGTCCCAGCTGAGTCCCGGCTGCTCCACTTCTGAGCCCGCTCCCTGCTAACACGCCTAGGAACGCAGCGAGAGGAGGGCCGAGTGGGAGACCCCGATGGAGTCCGGTGCTCCTGGCTTCAGCCTGCCCAGCCCTGACTGCTGCAGCCATCTGGGGAGTGAGCCAGCGGACGGAAGCTCTCTCTCCCGCTCCCTCCCTCCCGCCCTAACTCTGCCTCCCACCTCGGAGAGAAGCAGGGAGCCGTCCGGTTGGGAGGTCGGTTCAGAGGCGACCTGGCCGTGAGTGGTGCGGCGCTGGCTGTCCCAGCTGGCAGGCGGGGCTGGCGTCACTGCTGCCTCCCCAAGCACTGTGACTGCCTGACCATAAGGGAGGCCCCGGGCTGCCAGGGGGACCTGTCCCTGCGGTGTCGCCAACTCGCCACGGCCGACACCAATGACATCCGTGGCCTCCCATCTGTGTAGGACCCCTGGGGACCAGCGACACAGACATCAAGCCGCTGGTGGGGGTGTGCACAGCTCCCACCCTGGGTGACCGCCAGGCCACACCCACCTCTCTGACCACTGATGCCCAGTGAGTGTTCCCCAGCTCTGCCTGCCTTCCTCCCACAGCCCACCCCGCCCCACGCATGCGGGAAAGCCTCCAAGTGTCCACTTTCTTTCACGGGATGCGAACACCTCAACATTTACTGATGACTGGTACCCACGCTCGCTGCCTGTGGGACCCGTGCCAGCCCTCGGAGTCTGGCTTCTGAGAAGCAGGGCTCTGCACAGGTCACGATTCCACCTGGGCGGGTGCTACTCCAGCCTCCAGGGTGGGTGTTATCCGTGGACAGGCCACCAAGGTCAGGGAGGCCAGATGCCCTGTCCCAAGTCCCTCTGCGGGGAAATAAACAGCAGAGCCAGGCCTCTGGCCACACTCAGCACAGGGCAGTGGCAGGGAGGACCAAGGGCACGGCAGGTGCCGGCTTACAGCTAAGGAGTCAAGTGCCACTGCCCCCATCGCGGGCAAAGACAAGACCCCCAGGGGACTCCCAGCCCAGGGTCCTCAACAGCAAGTCCCAGACCAGCAGCGCCCCCCGCACCTGGGACCTGGTGAGCCATGCCGGTTCCCTGGCTCCACCCCAGCCAGAAATGCCGGCAGCAGCCAGCAGAGGCACAGGTGTGAGAGCTGTGCCCAGCACCGCCGGGGGCAGGCAGCCCGGGGCTCAGAGAGGGAAGCCTCGTCAACCATCGGGCCAGGCCTGAGGCTGGGGGCTCCTGCCCCAGGCGCTGCCCTGTGGGCCCCGCCCTGTGGCTCCAGCCCAGCTCCCCACAAAGGGAGGGGGGCCTGCCAAGAATCGCAGCAATGGGCCCTCGGAGGTCTGGAGACAGCGCTCCCAAAATAAATCTCTCGGCTGCACAGACATTTTCCAAAAGCCAGCAGCATTTCCCAGAACACGGAGTGACCTAGAAACCAGCGCAGGGTGGAGGCGGCTCCTCCTTGCCTCCTCCCCATCCTCTCCTGCCCCTCTCCTGCCCCTGCCCCCGCACAGCCAGCGGTGGGCCCAGCTGAGCCGGGCTTCCTTCCTCCAGGGAAACGGATCCCTCGAGGGGGTGAATTGTAAAGGCCGCTCTGTGTCCTCACCAAGCGTCCGTCTTGCTCTCCTTGCGCCCCGAGCCACCTTCTCTGTCTGCTTCACGTCTGTTGTGGGGCAGGGACGCCAGGACTTCCCTACCTTCTTCAGACACCGCACCTCCGGGGCTGTTCCGCCCTGTTGGCCACGGTCAACCTTCAATCCCCATTTCTCAGCCGGTAACGCCGTCTGCAGCGTCTGCATAGTTTTGCCCACCCTTTTGTTTCGCTCGCAATCAGTCTCTGCACACAGGAAGGAGCTCGGGTCCAGCACGCAGCCTAACAAGGGACAACTCCTGCGTGAAGACCCTGGCCTTCAGAACCCGGTCTCAGCCCAACAGCTTGCAAGAAGGGAAAGCACTTGTTCAAAGAGAAGAGACACGGGGGTGGGGAGAGCTGTCACCAAGGTTGCTTCGACCTCAAAGGACAGGGGACCTCTGCCACGTCGGTGGGGGGAGGGAGTAAGACATCACCTGCAGAGGAGCGAGGGGCCAAGACTCCCTGAGAGGCTGAGAGGTAGGGTGGTCCCTGCAGCACGGAACCCCAGCCCTGAGCCTCGGCACAGAGGCCAGCAGGTTGGCCAGACCGCACAGCCTGCTGGCCAGACGGCTGGGCCCTCGTGCACCTGTGTGGGTCACTGCCTCCCCAGGTAGGTCCTGGACAGGTGGGCGCAGGGAGGGGCTTCACAAAGTCAGGCTCTGGCTTCCCTGCCAGAGTCACGGGGGTGGGGGGGGCGGGGGGCGGGGACTGCGGCAGCAGCCAGCGCTGTGGCCAAGCTGCCAGCGCGGGGCCACGCGCGCCTCTCCTGCCAGCTCTGTGCGTGCGCGGTCAGAAGCACAGCTGGTCCCCGGCTGGGCCCTGGCTTTCCGCAGTGTGTCCGACTGCGGAGCACCTGGCCAAGCTGAGCAGGTGCGGCCCCAAGGCCTCGCCCCCCCCCCCCCCACAACGCCTGGGGAACAGCAGCACCCAGCTGGGCAGCGGTGCCGGGGGACAGGAATTTCCCGGGAAGTCCCGGCGGTGGACCTGCGCAGCCTTGGTTCAGGGCGCAAAGGGGGGACCTAGGGAGTTTTGGGGATCCTCCGCGGTGATTATGGGCGGTGGGGCACCCAAAAGGACCCCATACTCAAGGTCTGCAATAGAATGTTGGTTCCCGATGACCCCTTGCCGAGAAGGAACAGCTTGTCTCTAACAGCGCGCTGGGCACCGCACTCTGCAAGACAGAACGGCTGTGACGCGGCCGCCCCAGCCGGCGACACCAGACCTCGCTCCCTACAGTGGCGGTCACGCCTCCCCCGCCGCTGGGCAGCCTCACACCACGCACAGAGGGGCACGAGGGGGCGAGGGGCGGAGCCTAGAGGCGGGGCGGAGAGGGGGCGGGGCGGAGAGGGGGCGGGGCTGAGGGGGCGGAGCCTAGAGGGGGCAGGACTGAGAGGGGCGGGGCCTAGAGGCGGACCAGAAAACCAACATGGTGGCCCGGAACCATGGGCCGGGCAAGCAGAGCCTGGAGGGCGGTGCCGGGGCCTGCGAGGACACCCTCTGCCCCTCTCTTTGGGTGCAGCTTCACCCCACGAACGCCGCCAGTTTCTCTTGCTGGGTTTGCTGCAATTGTTTTCTGCTCCTCTTCAATGTTTGAGAAAAGCCGCGGCCGCTTGTGCAGGGCGCAGCGGCACCGGGGAGGGGCCCACAGGAAAGGAGCTGGCCCTTCTAGCCCCCTCTCCCTACCCAGGCTCCCTCGGGGGCGTCTCCTCGCCCGGATCTTGGGGGTCTCCGCCGATCGTCTCCCGAGAACCTGTGCGTCCCGAGGCCCAGGAGAGGGACCACGTGTGCTACAGCACCAGCCTGCACGGAGCTGTGCTGCCCTCCACACGCGGCACACCCCCCCCCCCCCACCGCATTTATAAATCTGCAACAGGGCCGAGCCTCAGCCACCGCGGGCCGGGGAAGCTTCGCTTTAGGATGGACCTTGGGTCCAGGGTGCTGCGGGGACACCGTTTATCCTCCGTAGTGATGCATCATTCCCACCGAGACCTGGGACACCAACCGCCACACCCTGCTCCAAGACGAGTCCCAGACGCACTGCACACCTGGGCGGGTCTTGAGGGCAGGAGCCCACCCTGCCCGGCGACAAGGAGACCCCGTGGTGGGCAGGGTGAGGGTGGGAGGTGTATCTCGAATGCGCCGGTGGTGTTGGTCACAACACACAGAACTGTGGCCTCGCGCTGGGCCATCCCATCGCGTGCCTGGATAAAGCCGATCTTTCAAAACAGCTGCCTCTAACGCGATCAGACAAGATCGCAGCGAGGACAGGAGACGCCGGCTCACTGGGAGGGGCTGAGGACAGGAGACAACGGCTCACTGGAGGGGCCGAGGACAGGAGACAACGGCTCACTGGGAGGGACCAAGGACAGCCGCTTCCTGGGTGTTTGACGCTGACCTCAGACAGGCACGTGCTCAAGGTCATTCATCTCAAGGTCATTCGTCTCGGCAGAGTCAGCCCAGCCTCCGGCCACTTTCCCTGTCACGTGGGCCAGGGCACACGGGGCTCACGCACTGGGGCTTTTGGTGGTGCGGGCGCGGGCGCTGGGGGCCGTCTTGTCACTGTCCCCGCTCGGTAACCCCAGCCGGTAACCCCAGCCGGCAGCCATGACCGGGACGGAGCACCAGCCGCCTGGGGAAGCGGCCTGGGCGCCCGGGCCTAGCACCCAAAACCTTTGACTTCCGGATGCCACCTAGCACGCGGCAGCTGCTTCTCCCAGCCCCAGGCACGAACACCAGACGTCGGCTCTAGAGGGGCAGGACCCCCGCCCCGGCCGGCTGCTTCTCCCCACGCACCTCGGGCAGTGGGACATGGGCTTTTCAAATGGGCAGAGCTGAGCGACCGTGGTGTGGCAGTCCAGGTCCTGCACTGTGAAGAGAACACAGCGGTGGGCAAGGGTCAGGTCCCCGGCAAGCCTAGGCCTCAGGCTACCAGTCAGTGAAATGGGTTGCTGACTCTGGGCTGGGAGGGGGGGCCTTGAACAGAGTTGGGGCCAGAACCCACCAGATACCCCACAGCTCGCTGAGGGCCACCCTGGAGTGAGACCACCCACAAGGCCTGTGTGTGTCTGGATCGAGGGTGACTCTTGCGCAAGGTTGTTTGTTGGGTATAAACACAACACGTAAGGACAGGCCACAGGTTCGAGTCCCGGCTGCTCCACTGCCTACCCAGCTCCCTGCCAACGGCCTGGGAAAAGCAGCGGAGGCGGCCCCTGCCCCAACGTGGGAGACGGGGAAGAAGCTCCTGGCTCCAGCCCGGCCCAACCCTGGCTGGGGAGTGAACCAGTGGGTGGAAGACCTCTCTGTCTCTCTCTCTGTAAACTCTGCCTTTCAAATAAATAAATAAATCCTTAAAAAAAAAAAAAAACGACCAGGCTTAGAAGAACACTGGAGGGCAGAGAAGCACACGATGCTTCAAGGACCGACTCGGCCCCCAAATGCCACGCGGTTCCCCACCGAGAGTGTCACCGGCTGGCGCGTGCCGTGTATGGCACAGGAGAAAGCAACCAGGGTGTCCACCCACAGGTACCCGGCGGTTCCCCCGGCTGGCAGAACTCCCGCGAAGTCATTCTTTAAAACGTGTGTCTGTTTTTAAAGCCGGCTGGAACACGCAGGCATTATTTTGTGGTGAGCAAAGACAAGGCCACTAGTCACTCCAGTGACCTAACCCGAGACCCGCGCCGCAGCGGGGTGACCAGGGTCCCACAGTGGGGGTCGGCGGAGGGAGGATGCGGGGGCAGGGCCTCTCCCCGCGGCTTGCCCGTGGTCATGGCAGATAGTGGCTCAGCTTGGGCAACCGTCAGCCACCCGCTCCCGCTCCCGCTCCCCCTGCCCCGCATGTGCACCTGCTGGGCACACTTCCCCCCACCCTTCTCTTGTCCCTGACTCTAACCACTCAGCCACCCAGCTCCGCTTTCTGCCGAGCCCAGACTTGGGCCTCAGAATCCTTCTCCACACTACCAGGGAGGCCTCCCAGCCACCCAGCCCCGGGCGGCAGTATTTCTGAGACATCAGGTGGCAGCCCCAGGCCCGTGTCTTTGGTCCACCTACTGGGGCCAATTTCAGGCGTCTTCAGAGAGGAGATAAAGAAACGACACCCTCAGGAATCACAATTCTGAGAACAACGATGCTATGGGGCGTGAGAGTGCGCGCACGCCCGAGGGTTAGGGTCCCGAGGAGGTGGCCACTGACCTTTCACCTTGGACACCAGGAAGGAGCCGGAAGGCTTGTACTTGCTGGAAGAGAAAACGCCAGGTGATGCCAACCAACCAGGTGCAGGGCGCGTCCGCTCGGGGCTGCCCGCGCGCGACACTTCCTGTTGTCTCCCATCTCACCCCAAATCTCTTAGAGTGTTCTAGAGCAGAGCTTAACCTTGCTGGTACCAAGGACTCCTCCAGCAGGCCCAGTGGAGCCCTACTCAGAATAAAGATTTTTAAAATGATATCATCAGGGCCGGAGCTGTGGCACAGTGGGTAGCCGCACCTGCAGCACCGGCATCCCATATGGGCGCTGGTTCAGGTCCTGGCTGCTCCACTTCTGATCGCATTCCCTGCTATGACCTGGGAAAGCAGCAGAAGATGGCTCGGTGCTTGGGTCCCTGCACCCACATGGAAGATCCAGAAGCAGCTCCTGGCTTCGGGTGGGCACAGCTCAGGGTGCTGAGGCCAACTGGGGACTGAACCAGCAATGCAAGACCCCACCCCCACCCCGTGTGTGTGTGTGTAACTCTGACTTTCAAATAAATAAATCTTTTTTAAAAAATTGCAAAAGAAAAGGTTGCAAATGGAAATGTCTAAATAGAAAATTCTCAAAAGCTATGCCAATCAATTGTAATACAAAAAACAACGTAAGTTCATTTTAAAATGTCACAAAGGAAATCAGCCACTATAAAACAGTCAAACAAATTCATGTCAAAGTTGCGGCTAGGAATCACCTAGCTTCCCCAGCGGGATCCAGACGGGATCTCTCACCCCTCACCCCCCACCCCGAAACCACAGCAGGGGCCGCAGGGTTCCAGCGAGGGCACCAGCCCCACCAGCCCGCTCTGAGGCCAGCATTCGTCATGGAAGGAGAGGTTACAGGCCAATCAGTAGTTGGCAAGAATGAAACCGATCAGCTTTGCATCTCTGTTCACGGGCCCTGGAATCCTACCGCGTGAGGAAGCCCTGCTTTAGAGGCAAAGCCAGCTGTGGGAGGGACCGAGGCCACGCAAGAGGCCAGCCCTGGCCACGCCCCAGCGTGACTGCCTGCGCAGACATCCCATAGCCCGTTTGCGCTCTGCAGACCTCCTGCTGTTCTGTTTACCTGGCCCCGAGCAGAGCCCCAGCTGAGAGAGGTCACGGCAGTACCCATCACCTGCACCTGAGACCCTTCCAGGGCCCCGCCCCACCCTTACAGAATTCCCGCGTGGCCTCACAACTCCTTGTAACAGCCACAGGAGCGGTGGCACGGGCCGCCTCGGGACCCACCTCCTAACAGCCACAGGACACTTGTTCTCGGCCCCAGCCGGGAGTAGTTTCTGGGGGGAGTAGTGCAATCCCCCTTAGCCACAGAACAGCAAGCGGCCGGCACCTGGAGGTGCCGCCACGAGCAGGAACCGGAGGGCGTGGAGGGAGGAGTCTTCTACACTTTCTTAGCCCTGTGGGAATGCTGCCCCTTTCAACCACTAATGGCTCCCTGCACGTGGACCAGCCGGGGGACAGCCCTGAGCCTGGGCGTGGCCGCCCGGGGAGGCAGACAGGGCTGGAGGACACGGAAGCAGGTGTGTTGGATCTCCGCGGGCAGATCAGACAGGAGCCCCCAGACCAGGCCCCTGCCCCCAGCCCGCCTCCAATGCCCAGGAAGCCCCGCCCACCCTGGCTGACAAATGCCATCTTGGGGATCAGCAAACACGGGTTGGGACCAGCATCTGGGGATTTGGCCAGACCCGACTGGCTGAGCACCTCCACTCCCAGGACCCAGACCCCAAACACTTGGAGGGGCCGATGGGGCAGCACCGCACTCCGTCCCGGCGACAGCGGCTCTGCGGCCCAGGGCGGCCTCCCCTCCCCTCGGCTCCCGCGTCTCCGCCTGGCTCCTCACTCCCCAGCAACCTCAGCGCCGGCTCAAGCCGGGACCCCGTTACCTCAGAGACTCCACGCCGTGCTTCTGCGACTTCACAAAGAACGGCTTCCTCCCGTTCCTGGTCACGTCCACCAGCCCGCCCGTGTCGTTGAGGACCCCGTGGTGGAGGGCGGCCCGGCATATGCTGGACGACTGCGGGGGAGGGGAGGCCCCACGTCCTCTGAGTCCTTCCTTATCAGGAAAGCCCCAGGCGTCTGTGCTCAGCCCACGCGCGCCAGGCCCCGGTGGGTGGGTGGGTGGGTGCACATACACACACACACACACACACACACACACACACACACACACACGCCGGCCCATAACTGCCTCTTTGTTCCCTGGGTTGTTTGTCTTGAAAACCCCATCAGAGGCGCTTTAGGAAGTAGGTGGGGGACAAACAGCCCTTTCTGCCCACGCAGTCAGCCGTGCCGGCCAGGGGCCCAGCCCAGGCCCGGCGGCACCAGCTGGCGAGCCGGCACGTGTGTGCAGGGAGCAGCACCGGCCACGCTGGGTGAGACGGGTAAACCTTGTCCCCCAAAACCACCTGCCTCCCTTCAACACACAGCAGCCCCCACTCACACTTTCATAGAACAGAGACCCGAAGATCTTGGTCTTGTCGTGCAGGCAGCCGGCTGGGCAGTGGTACCTGCAGGGAGCAAACAGCGCAGCGGTCAGGGGACCCGGCGCTGGCGCCTCCCGGCGGCTTCCAGGTCACCGCAAATGGGCAAGGTCAATGGCGGCGCTTCCTCGGCTCGGTTCCCGAGCAAGCCACGGCCGAGCCAGGCCCACACCGAAGCTCATGGCCGCAGCACAGTGCCCACCCACTATCTTCACCTGCCTAACTGGAGGGCACATGAGGACACAGGCGACTCGGAGCAAGGACGGGGGGCCTCAGACGCACCCCAAGCCCATCACGCCACAAGGCTGAGTACAGAGGAACAGCCACCTCCTAGGGATCAAATCGCATGGATTTTTTTTTTTTTTTAACAGAATAAAACCCAGGCAAGATGTGCCGGTCATGAAAGAAGTAATACCCTAACCCCACAGGACACCTCAGAAACCCACAGCCACTGCCCCCTGTTTCCAGGGTAGAGCACACAGCACGGCCTGGGCACAGCTCTCCCCACACCGACCACTGTGCCCGTCTCCCGTCACCAACGTGGTCATCGGCTGCCCCCCGCCGGCTGTGCAGGGCGCTGGGTGTGGCTACGGCAGGTGCAGAGCCTGGGCCGCCCCAGTCTCCTTCCCGACGCTCCTGCCCAGCTGTGTGCCAAGCACAAATCCCAGTATACAAAACGGGAGCTGTCATCTAACGAGTGCTCTGCGGAGCCCAAGTCAGCCCGGGAAGAGCCAAGGCCAGGATCAGGACGACAAGGTGACACGCTTTTCCCATCGCAAACCCTGCTCGTGCCCCGCGGCAGACGCTCTCCCGAGCACACGGGCGCCGTTAGTGACTCCACCCAGAGTCGGCTCAACTGCAGCCCAGCTGCAGGCTGCCCCGTCCTGCAGCAGACCTGGGACCTGCCAAGGCCAAGGTTCTGCCGGGCAACCCGGGCTGAACTGCGCTCCCAGCTGGGGTGCCCAGGACCGAGGGGTCTCCCAGGACTCGCGGGAACGTCCCGTGCAAGCCGGGACCAGGCACGGCTTCTGTGAGCCGGTCAGGACGCGACCTCTGACCCACAGCACGAGGGGGACCCAGCCAGACCTCACCTGTTGCACGTGGACCCTTGACACCTGTCCTTCATCTTGGTGTCGCACTGGATGACTTGCGCTAGGAGAGAAACGCAGGCACACACGTCACCACAGAGCCAGTTCAGGTTAAAAGACCCCTGCCCACTCCAAGGGACCTTCCGGAAGATTCTAGAACCCAAGCCGCGGCAAGGGCAAGGCAGTGTCTCACAGCTGCCGCTTCCCCGGGGACACGGCACCACAGGCACTCGTGTTCTAGTGGCAGTGGGGCCCTGGACCAGAGCTGCCGTATGCGGGTCCGTTCCTGCCTGCAGGTAATGGGGACGGTGTCCATGTCCACGGCCAGAGTCTGTGTGTGTGTTCCAGGGCTCGCACACAGCCCCACGGGGTTCTTCACCGGAGCCCCTGGGCCGGGGACACAGCCATTCCCGCAGGGTCACCTCCCCCAGCCACGGTGACCTCTGCTAAGCTGTCCTGTTTCATTGCATGCTGGGGATGGGGCGGGGTCTCAGAGCAGCGCTTCCATGGGAACATGGCAGCCGGCACGGCTACTGGACTATCAGAAGGCACAGCGGTGCCGCCTCGGACCTGAGGACACGACAGGGCCCCAGAGACCTGCAGACACAGGTGCACGGCGAGTGCCAGCCAAGGGCACCGCAAGACCAGAGGGGTTGGTAACAGACCGGGAGGGTGTCTGAGGAGCTGAGCACGGGCCGCTCCCCCAGGCCAGTCCTCACCGTGCCGCGAGGCTCAGCTGGGGAGACTGCACTGGGGCGTGCAGCTTCCAGCCATGTCTGTGAGCGGACGCAGCCCTGGGGGCCACGGACGGGGCTGGGCCCACGCGTGCCGGTGAGGCGCCGGGGGACATGGACGGGGCTGGGCCCAAGCGTGCCGGTGAGGCGCCGGGGGACATGGACGGGGCTGGGCCCACGCGTGCCGGTGAGGCGCCTGGGGGCCACGGACGGGGCTGGGCCCACGCGTGCCGGTGAGGCGCCGGGGGACATGGACGGGGCTGGGCCCACGCGTGCCGGTGAGGCACCAGGGGATCACAGGGCACACAGAGGCTTTGGGGACACCGAGCTCCGGGCAGCTCCTGGGCAAAGTGCTTGACTTCCCGTCCCACAGGGCTGCTGCACCCACCCCAGATAACCTCAGGGGGGGGAGACCTCAGCTGCCGCTGGGGACCGCTGAGCACAAAGCACCCCCACGGCACCCCGGCACAGGCTGGTCACCCCAGCGTCACGGACGGGCAAAGGGCAGAGTCAGCTGGCGCCGGTGTTGGCGCTGTCCCCCAGGGGCCGGTGCTCCGGCGAGGAGCCCAGACAGGACAGGGAAGTCTCAGCTCTCACCCCGCCCGCGGAGCAACGCCGCCCACTCCACTCCTCCAAGGCTCGCTGTGGACATGGCTTAAAAACACCATTTCAGGGGCCGGGGCTGGGGCACAGTGGGTAAGCTGCTGCCCACAACCACGGCCGCCCATATCGGAGTGCCAGGCGGATTCCCGGCTGCTCCGCTTCCAATCGCTCTCTGCTAATGCCCCCCCCCCGGGGGGGGGCGGCGGGGCCCTGCTACCCACGTGGGAGACCCAGATGGAGCTCAGAGCTCCCGGCTTGTGCCTCTACCAGACCCGGCCACTGTGGCCATTTGGGGAGTGAACCAGCAATCGGAAGACCTCTCCCCTGTCCCGCCCTGTTTCTGTCACTCTGGCTTTCTAGTAAGTAAATAAATCCTAAAAAACAAACAAACAACAAAACCAACACTTTTATAACAAACGTTTCGGGGCTGTGCTTCGGCAAGGCCCTCCCCGCCCACTCCCCGCCCCGCCCCGCCCGACTCACTCATGTAGCTGCCCGCGGCCGTGCGCTCCGGCTTCATGGGCCTGGTCACGCGTGGCTGCTCCCACACGTATCTTTCTCCGGGAATGGACGCCGTCTCCACCTCGTTCGTCTCGTCCGTCTCAGGCTGTCGGTCCTGGGTCTCTTCTTAGCGGTGGCGAGAGAGAAACAACACGCGGGACTCAGCGGGGTGGCTTCCCGGGGAGGAGAGCCACTGGGCGCTGAGCTTGCAGGTTTGGGTTCACGGAGACCAGCGGCGAGCGGCGCGGCAGGCAGAGCCGGCCAGGCGGAACTTCCAGCCGGGAGCGCACCTGGTCCCGCGCCCTCGGCACACGGCCCTCCGCCCCAGGGCTGCGGGCGGCCCCCGCGGGTCCCCCCAGTCCTGCCACCCTGAGGCTTTCCCAGGGCCAGGGCTCGCAAGGACCTCACCGCGGCTCTCAGAACCCAATCACGCCAGGCAGAGTCCACGTGGTTCACGGCCCCCACGTCTGCCCCTCCCGGACACTGCGTCTCCCGACCCCTCCCTCTGGGCCATGACTGCACGTTCGCAAAATCCTCCTGCCGTCGGCCAGGTCTTCCCTGGGGAAGACGGTGACGACCTCTCACCCGAGCCGGTGAACAGACCCCCCGGGGACGCCCAGCCGTAAATCCCGGCAGGCCGACCGCTCTTCCCACTCGCCCGAGTGGCCTCGCCAGGGACGACCCCGGGCGGCTCTCCACCAGGGACCGCTTCGCACACAGCGGCACCCCACCTCACAGAGGTCCTTGCACCAGAGCTGCAGAACCCTCGCCTTCCACGCCCCCCAAGTGAGAAAGACAGCACACACGTGCGGGAGCCCACCTCACGGTGGACCACCACCAGTGACCGGTGCAGCGGGGGAGCAGGCTAAGCCGCCACTGGAGACCCCGGCGTCCCAGGCACGTGCCTGCCGCTTCCGGCGCGGCTCCCTGCTAATGCACCTGGGAGGGCAGCGGACAACGACCCACGTCCTGGGGTCCCTGGCGCCCGTGTGGGAAACCCGGGTGGATTTCCTGGTGCCAGGCTTTGGTCTGACCCAGCACTGACCGTTACAGCCGCCTGGACAGTGACCCAGCAGGTGGAAGATCTCTCTCTGTCCCCGCCTCCCAAACAAGAAACTATATTTATCTTTTTGAAAACCGCACTTGGCGCACCCCAGCACCGCAGTGTAGCCACTTCCGCCTCCACCGTGCCCGGCACCCTCCCGCCATGCGACACACGCACACGGCTGCTGCGATCCAGAGACCCCAAAAAGACCCAAACCCACATCCAAGGCACAGCTCGTGCTGAACGTGCCGGCCTCTCGCACCGCCGTCCTCCACGACGTGGGAAGCGGAGCCGACGCGGGCCGGGGGCCGTCTGCGGGGTGCTGGGCGAGAACACTCTCAGGGAGGCGGCGGCCCGCTAGGGCGCCAAGTGGCTCTCAGGAGAGCCCTGGTGTGGTCCGGGGGTCACCATCTCCAAGGCCCACCTCCACGCACCCAACAGCTGTGCGCTGCCTCCGCCCGCAGCCAGCAACTCCGCCCACGTGAAGGGCGTGTGACCCCTCACCCCGTGCCTGTCCCCTGGCTGGTTCACTCCCCACCGCCGGCCAGGGCCGATGCTGTCCCGAGAGAAGGGAGCGGGGGAGAACTGGACATAGGCAGCCACTCCGAGCCCCAACCCGCTCCTGGTCGGGCTCACGGCTCCACGACGGTGCCCTGGCAGCCATGAACTCCCGAGACCGGGTGCTGCCAGCTTCCCTCCCCTCCCCCACCATGCACCGCACCCAGCTCCCGACGCAACACGGATGACCAGACCGCCACCGAACCCTGCCACGGAAGACAAAGCGCGCGCCCAGCAGCTGGGGCTCCGCCAGCGCCCACGCAGCCGCGCCCCCGGCAGGAGCTGCTGGAAGACCCGGGTGCGAGGCAGCACGCCCTGCGCATGCGCGCGGCCACGCACGCCGCCCGGGCCTGAAGCCCCCACTGTGTGCAAGCAGCCGGCTTCCTGCCACTGGCCTCATAATCGCACTTTTATGTCGCCAAACACAGTCCAGGAACGTGGGCGAAGGCCTCCGAGGGCGCCCTGCCCAAGAAGACGGGCGGACGGCCCTCGCCCCAGACGCACACAAGGAAACCACACTTGCTCGCCCAGGGCAACTGGGCTGAGCCCGGCCTGCTGACCAATGACTGTCCCTGTGTACACCACGCAGGCCGGGAAAAGCCCGGACGAGGTCACTGCATGTTCGCTCTATGACCGGCCGGCTGCAAGCCTGGGGTCTCCACCGCCAGCCGGGCCAGCGCCTCCGCCTCAGGAAGCAGCAGAGGGCCCATTTCACAGATGGCAAAACCGAGCCTCGAAGAGCCCAAATGAGCACCCACGCTCCCACAGCTGGGATGGGGCCGGGCCAGGGCTCCACCCCCGTCCCCAGGCCGGGAGCGGCTGGAGAGAAGGAAGTCGCGATTATCCCCGCGTCTCCGCTACAGGTCGCGGCCTCGCCAGCCACCCTCAATTTGCGCTTATTAAGGAGCTTACGCTGATAAGACGCTTAACCGGAGACCCGGCACGGCCAGCCGGGGGAGCCGGGCACGTTCCTCCCCGAACAGAGGCGAGAGTACCTGGGGTTTCGTCGGGGGCTAAGGACTCGGCGGGCGTTTGCGCTCAGAAAACGGCACTCCGTGGACTTGGAGGCCCCGCGGGACACACCTGCCACCTGGCCCTGGAGCGGCCCGCAGTCGTGACCGTGGGATGGGAAAAGTCGACGCGGGACATAGGGTCGATGGGCGTACTTGGGCAGCTGCAGCGTCTGTCGGCCAAATCCAGGGAAGCTTCCTGGAGGAGGGGCAACATCGGAGCTGGACGAGGCACGCCCAGGTTCGTTGGCAGGGTGTGCAGGCGCCCGCCTTGCTGCTGTGCCTCTCGCCCGGGAAGCCCCGCGGCGGGCAGAGTGATCCTCACAGGGCGTGCGACCCTGCTCTACACAGGGCCTGACCTCGCGACCCCCTGCCGGCCCCTCCACCTCTCGCCCGGTCTCCCAGGTGCTGCAGGGCCCGCCGAGGGAGCCACGCAAGTCCCCAGGCTCCGCCCCACGAGCCGGCAGCCCTGGGCCACGCTGGGACCCTTCAGGAAAACTCCGGGCACGGGAACCCCCGCCGGCCGTCACCACGCGGGCGAGGCAGGGAGAGGGAGCTCCTGGCCTGGGAGAGCCCACGAGGGGCGCACCCTGGGGGCGCAGGAGAAGCCCCCGCCCGCCTTCCACATCCCCTTCCCTTGTCCGCTTTGTGCCAGACCCCAGGCACCCAGGAGGATGAGAGGGGTCTGTGTTCAAGGCCACCTCCAGCGTCCGGCACAGCAGGTGCCCGTGAGGGGGCAGCCAGGGGTCTCCAGGAGGCAGGGTGGGGCGGAGCCAGGCTGGGGGGCTCCGGCCACTCCCAGGGGGTCTGCAGCAGGATGGGGTGGGGTGACGCCGCCCAGTGTGGAGACCTGGCATTGTTCCCCGCGGCAACACGCTGAGGGCACCCCGCCCACTGGCTCCACCAGGCGGCGCTCCCCGCGGCGTTCCCCGAGGGCACCCCGCCCACTGGCTCCGAGGTGCTGCCCTACCTTTGTAACACAGGTTGTTCCAGCAGCCGCCTCCGTAGCTGGGTGGGCACGCGGAGCAGGGCGGGCCGGCTTTGTAGGGGGCTTCTCCGATCCAGTTTCCCCTGCAAACAGACCAGGGACACCCTCAGCAGGGGCGGCCACTCCTCTGCCCGGCTCACCCAGGGACCCCAAGCCAAGTCACCGGCTGGTTGGAAGAACGGCGCGTGCCGGGGGGTGCTATGGGGAGGGGGCTCTCCTGGAGCCGCGGCGCACGGCGTCAGAAGACTCTGGAATCGCAGGGCACCGCGGGCACTGCGGTAAGACGTCCTGCCGCCTGGCACCTCACCCGGCTCGGTGTGTGTGCTGTCAGCCCCTGGACCCCAGGTGACCCCGCTGCCCTCACAGCACACCAGACACCACCCAGGACGCGGCCCCTGTGCAGGAAAAGCCGGTGCATCTGTGGTGAGCGTGTCCAGGACGAGGAGGAAGCCAAGGCACAGAGAGGTTAAGTGACTCGCCCGAGGTCACACAGCAGTGAGGGGGCAGCTCAGCACCCTGGGCACACACTCTCCCCTCTGTGTCTCACAGGCACCGTGCACCTGCGGCTGGGGTCCCTCCCCCTGGCCCCGCCACCCCATCAGATGCCTCCAGGCCAGGCCGCAGGTGCTGAGTGCAACCCCAGCCCCTTTGCGGCACATGCTCAGGCCGCCATAACCAGCGACAGGCTGCTGTCTAGAAACTTCCATCTCAGGGGCCCAGCCGCCCATGCAGCCCACGCCTGTGTGGGCCGCCAACCCCCCCTGCCCTGAGCCTGTCTCCTCTGGAAACAGACCCCGAGCCGTGCGAGGCCCCACCCACAGGAGGCCCTCCAGCCAGCACCGGCTCGGTGAAGGCTCCTGTGAGCATGACTACACCAGCAAGCCCACCGGGACCATCCCCTTAGTGCCCACGGGCCAGGGCAGAGGGAGGGGCCCTGCTGTGGTGTCCATGGTGACATCCAGAGGGGTTCTCAGCCCCCAGCCACGTCCCCGTGGTGCCCAGGGCCCCAGATGTCCCCAACGATGAAGCCCAGCTCCTGCCTCCCAGGCCCCGGAGCTAGCCGGTCTCCTGCGTCCCTGGGTGGCCCTCAGCTGCCCCACCCCAAGGGCCTGAGCCGTGCAGCAGTCCCCAGGCCCCCAGCTCTGCCAGGGCCCCTGCACCTGGGTGCCTGCCACACAGCCCCGGGCTCCGACTCGCTCCTTAAGCATGCGGTCGGGGTGTGCGCACCACCAGGAGAAAGCCACAGTCCTCACCCAACACCACAAGGGGCCCACGGAAGCCACGGAGCACAAAAGACAGACTGGGCGCCGAGAGCCTCCCGTCTGGCCCCGTTCCCGTGGGCAGTCCACAGACCACACAGAGACCACAGGGAGAGGAGAGCGGAGACAGGACCCGGCGTGGACGCGGGACCCATCCGGGCTCTGCTTCCCAACTCCGGCTTCCTGCTAACGCTCCCTGGGGGCACAGGTGACGGCTCAAGCGCTTGGGTTCTCGCCACCCCCAGGGAAGGCACGGATCCGGTTCCCAGCTCCTGGCTTCAGCCTGGCCCAGACGTGGCAGGGATTTGGGGAGTGAACTCTGGGGATGGGAGAGCTGTCTGTCTCCCTTTGAAACAAATAAATAAAAATGTAAATGAAATCAATGGGGGGCAGCGCCCGTCCTGCCCTGGGCTAGGCTGTGCCCCACCGGCGCCTGCACAGAGCCCCAGCTCCCAGGCGCCTGCAGCCGGAGACGCGGCCTCCCGGGACGGAAGCCAGAGAGAGGACGGCGCGAGGCTGGACCCCAGCAGAGAGCCTCTGCTCGCACGGCACGGGGGGCCCGGCCAGGCAGAGCCCTCGGCAGGACCCGCCTGCCAGCCCGGCGCAGGAACCTGCAGCCGCCAGCACCAGCCCGGCCAGCGGCACGGCTGGGGGAAGCCCCGGGGCAGGCCCAGGGCACTCACACACGCGTGTCCAGCTGCACACCACAGACTCGCGGGCTTCGCTCTACGGAGGGGCCTTCTGTCCAGAGTGACAGGGGCTAAGGGCAGGAAGACGGCTAATTCTGACCCCGCCTTCCAGCCGGGCTTCTGACCTAAGCACACACAGCCGATTCCTTACCGCCCACGTGTCCCGGGGGCTCCACCGAGGCAGCTCTGCGGCAGGAGCCCCGCGGGCCCGGCCAGCACCCCCAGCCCCAGGCCCGCGGCCCGCGCTTACTTGGGAGAGTAGTTGCAGACGAGGTACACGGCGTTCTCCCAGATGCTCCCCCACACGTCCATGCGGCGGCAGGTGTTCACGGCACAGCCCATCTTGTTGGTGGTGGCCCAGACCACCTGCAAAGACAGCAGGGGTGCGGAGTGGGGCGGGGCTGGGGCCACGGGGCGACCGCTTCCCCCCAGCCCTCCCGAGAGCCAAACAGTTCCTTCAGGAAGCAAAATAATAAACAACTGGACTCCCCCTAAGAAAAAAAACCACACACACAGACACACACACACACAGACACACACACACACAGACACAGACACAGTCACAGACACACACAGTCACACAGACACAGACACACACACAGACGCACATACACAGTCACACACAGACACATACACACACACAGACGCGCACACAGTCACACACAGAGACACATACATACACACGCACATGCACACGTACACACGCACACATTGAGGACGCCCCTGGCGGTGCCACCTGACCGCGAAGTCCCGGGTCTCACTCGGTCTCTACCTTGCCCTGTGCAGTGACAGCACTGGAGATGGAGACAGCGAGAGCGTGGAGGCCGCCCCCTCCAGCGAGGGGCAGGGCAGGGGGGCAGGGGGGCAGGGGTGAGGTCAGCCGCTCCGGTTACCTGCGTGTAGTGGGCGCACGTGGGCCCCAGGCACCTCTCCGGACACCACGGGCTGCACTCGTGGGGCTGGGGGAAGATGAAGTCCTTCACCTCGTCATACCAGGCCTGCACGTGCATCGCCGGGGAGCGGTACCTGCGGGGCACAGCGCCTGTCACTCCCGGCCGCGGCACAGCCCCCGCGGGCGCCGAGCGCCCAGCACTGCCACCACCTCCACCGGCCCCTGTGAAAGGCGCCGAAAGCCAGGACGGGAGAGCAGCTCGCCCGGGGCTCGTCCCTGGGGTCCCCTTGGGACGCCTTCCCACCCCCGTGGGCGCAGGGCGCTCCGCTCAAGTCCTCCGATGCTTTTGTTGTCACGCCCACGGGGACGTCTATGAGCCCCTGACCCCACATCTCCAAGATGTTGCTAAACCAGACTGAAGACGAGTCCGCGCCAAGCCCAGAGGGAGGAGCGTTAAGGAGGCGACAGACGCCGCCCTGCGGCAGTCACGTGGGGGGGTTGGTCCTGCAAGCTGGGAAACACCAAGCTACGGGGGCAGAGCAGCAGGGTCCCCGCCACATCCCCCTCCTGGATCCTAGGCACCCCAAGACTGAGGCCCAAACCAGGAAACTCATCCGAGGGAAGCTCCCCGGGCCCCCCGGGGCCACGCAGCCAGGGGGCGCAGTCTCAGGACGTCAGCACCCAGAGCCCCTGCATTGAGAGGTCCCGGGGGGCCACCAGCCTGACCTCTGCGAGGGCACTGCTCCCTAGAGCCCCCCCCCCCGCCAGGTCGGCACCAGCTCTGTTAAGCAGGAAAGAGCAACTGGCGGTGACCCCTGCTCACAGCCGTCACCAGCAAGGGGAGACCCAGCGTCACGCGGGAGCGGCTGCCTGTGAGGGCCACGTGCCCAGGGAGGCAGGCAGGGAGCCGCAGTGGTCAGGGTCAGGCCCGGAAAACGGCCAGCCCGCACGAGGGAGCTGTGGCCCCGCCCCCCACCCCCGACACTGCCTCCCACGTCCGTGTGTAAAAAGCAAAGTTTCCCCTGTGGATTTCCTTCCACCGAGTCACTCCCTGCCTGGCGTGCCGCCAACCTAAAGGCGAGTGTGGCTGCTCCGGGCCAGGGCCCTGGGCGCCCCTGGGGGTCCCAAGTCTTCTTGGGCAGCGGGCGTGGTGCGGGCTGTGTTCGCTCCCCCAGTGTAGCACTCTGTCCCCAGGGGGCGGCTTCCAGCTTCCTTGGGTGCAGGGGTGCATGGCTATGGGGGGCAGCTGGCTTCACAGAGCCGGCAGCCACCAGCTGCTCCCAGGGGACACAGGTGTCACCAGGCCAAGGGGCCGCGGAGGCTCGGAGGGGTCAGTGGAAGGAGGGGTGAGGGGCACTTTCCCCTCGAGGTGGAGCCCGGCTCGGTCTCACAGGGTGCGCAGGAGCCAGGCTCGTGGGGGCTGAGAGGAGGCAGTGAGTCCCTGGGCCCCTGCCCCCCCAGCAGCAATGGGGACCGGAGCCCTTTAAGGGAGATGAGTGCAGAGAACCCACGCCCTGGTCTGACCACCCAGGCTCCAGCCTGCTTTGCCAGGTACTCAGAAAGGTGCCCGGTGCCGAGCCTCAGTTTCCCCACGTGCCTGGGGGCAGGTGCTCGGCCTGTCTGCTGCCTCTCGCAGGCTGAATTCCCCTGAGGCACGAGGAGGCTGAGCACTGCAGGTGCCCAGCAGTGGCAGCCGGCTCTCGAGGGGCCCCGGCGGCCGCTCGTGGGGAGCCCACTCCTCTCACCTGCCCCAGTGCACAGCCAGGTTCTGCCCGACGAACACCAGCAGGCTGGAGGGCCCGTGTTCCCAGAGGCACTGCTGGGCCCAGGACGCCGCCGACCTCTCCAGCTCTTCATCCCAGGTCTGCGGGGGGAGGAGAGACGGGTGTCAGAGGCAGAGCCGTGGCCGGCGTGCAGCAAGGAGCGAGGGCCAAGCTCTGAAGGCTCCCAGGCCGGCCCCCATGCCACTGCTGACCCCAGCCAGTCCCACCTCTGCCGGCCTCGGAGACTGAGCCGAAGGACCCACAGATCAAACACCACATGCCGTGCAGAATGGCAGGCGAGCGACAACCGGTCCTCGGCGGGCCCGGGAGCCGCTGCTGATGGCCGCGGCCCCCGGGTGTCACCTGTGCCCCGGGTGTGCCCGGCCTCAGACCTCACCCGAATCCCTCCATCGCGCTCAGCCGCGAGCATCTGCAGCCGGGCACCCCCGTTCCCGCTTTACATAGCGGGAAGCCGGGCTCTGAGACGCAACACCATCGGCGGCTGCTTCCACAACCAGGCGCCGAACCCGGTCTCCAGGGACCTGGTGGGCTGTCCCTGCCGGTGAGCGCTGTTCTGTGCTGGCCACGGCAGGCATGACAACGGCAGAACAACTCCGTCTCCCACATGGCACAGGCATGGTCCTGGCTGCCAGCCCCAGAACAGCCCAGTGCACCCTTTACCGTCTCCGCACCCCAGAACCCTCATCTCAAACATGGGTGTGGGTGGCAACAGGCGAGGCGCAGCTCCAGTGCCAAAACTCGCCACACGCGAGTCTCCTGGCCATTTTCTCTCCGTGTCTCCTGCGGCATCTCCCAGCAGGGAAACTCCGAGTTGTGCCCTGCCGGGATCTAGAGCGGCCTGGCATAGAGAGGGCGCCCCGAGGACAGAGCCCCACTCCTCTCCACACCTCCCTCCAGCAAGAACCTCGAGGTGCGCAGGCACGCAGGAGGCGCAGAGTCAGCGCAGAATTAATCCTTTAACTGAACCGCAGGTGTGCGGACGGCAGGGACACAGGGAAGGGAGGCCAGCCCGCCCGCCACCTAGCCGCTCTGTAAGCACCACGCCTCCCACGTGCAGGCAGCAGGGACAGAGTGGCCAAGCCTCGGCCTCACCGCTCGCAGCCGTGCAAGTCCTGGGCAGCATCCGTCTCAGCCCCAGTGCGCCGACACGCAGGACGGCCCTAACGCTCCCCGCCGCAGGGTGCGGTTCACCCCATACGTGTCAGCACGGCCAGCCTCGGTTCCACGCCTGTGCACGTGGCCTGTGGGCTCCCTGAGCGTGGCAAATACTCCATCTCAGACGGACACCAGACTTTCTCAAAGCCGCTGGGAGCCGGCGGGTGGACTGGAGGCGGCCCATCATCAGAGCTGAGGACGGACCCTGGCAGACTTGGACCCTTCCCCTGGGGGTCCCCAAAAGCCGGCTGGGAACAGAGTTCCACATGGGAGCCTGGGGCAGCCACCCTTGGAAAACCCAGGCCAGGGCCCCAGGGTTGACCTTGGCCAGCCCCCTCCCCTTATACCGTCCCTCCTTCCCCAGCTGGACAGTCCGGGGATCCCAGGAGACCGCGAGAAGAGGAAGGGTCTTCAGAGACCCCAGGGCGCCTGCCTGCAGCAGGAGGAGCAGAGCTGGGGTGGACCCAGGCAGGCCGGCTCCCACGCTGCCCCCAGCCGCAGTCCCGGGGGAATGGGGCCGTGGAGGGGGAGGAGTCCGCACCTGAACCCCACAAACTCGGCTCCATTTCCTGCACTCTAACCCTAAGAACAGCCGCCCAGCTGCTGGGGCACTGGGTTTTTTTGAAAGGAGCCTGTATTTCCCCCCAGAATCAGCACGCTCCCTTGGGAAAAGGGCCGGGGCAATGTTCCCGAGGGGCAGAAGGACTCGGCTTCGTAACACATTCCCAAAGGGGCAGCCTCACGCAGGGACGCCGCCCAGCGATCCGGCCACGGTGACGCGTGAGCCGAGCACGGTGACGCGAGGGGCTCGCGGGCACACAGGGCGCCCTGGACCACGGCGAGTCCACTGCCAAGTGCAGAGGGAGAAGCAGGCAGTGGCCTGGGCTGGCGACGCCCCAGAGTCTCCCGAAGCCAGCGAGGAGGGGAGGGGCTCCAGGGCAGGGGCGGGGCGTCCCAGGGGACACGGGGACCTCTCTGCCCCAAAGCTAAGTGAGCGAGACAGGCGGCTTCCTTCCAGAAGCTCTGGCTGCCTCCCTGCACATGGGTGACAGAAGCCCCAGGCAGAAGGGCTACAAGGAAGGGGGGAGCCCCTCCCGACGCGGCCGAGGCCCCCGCCATCGAGGCGTGACGGGAACAAGGAGGGCAAGGTGGTAGAAAGCCAGGAGGGAGGCCGGGCCGCGTGGGACAGCACGGGGGCGTCTCGGTGCCAGCTCCGCCGCCGGCCAGCTGTGAGCACCGGCTCCGGTGTGCTAGTTCCTGGGTGGGAGACACAGCATGCGTGCTTCAGGGGGCGAGGAGAACAGGACACGGGACAGAGGGGAGACCAGTCTGGGGCAAGCGCTGCCTCTCCGGCCCCTCCGACTGTCCCACACGGCAGCCAGGGGCCAGCGTGGCCGTCTGCACTGAGCTGAGCCAAATCAAGTCAAATTAGAAGTCAAGTTCCTCAGGCATCCTGCACCTTTCTCCTTCGTCTTCTTTAAAAAAAGATCTGGTTACGTGGAAGGCAGAAGGAAGGGGAGGGGGAGAGGAGGAGGGGGAGGGGGAGAGGAGGAGGGGGGGGGAGGGGGAGGGGGAGTAGAAGGCGGGGAGAGAGATCTCCCACTGCTAGGTCACTTCTCAGATACCCTCAATGTCCAGGGCTGGACCAGACCCAGCACTACCTCGCGGTGCCAAGAACAAAGAGCTGGTGCCAGCGCCATGGTGCAGCGGGCTAAGCCTCCACCAGCATCCTATATGGGCACCAGTTCGAGTCCCATATAGGGCTAGCTCCCTGCTGTGGCCTGGGAGGGCAGTAGAAAATGGCCCAAGTGCTTGGGCCCCTGCACCCTCGTGGGAGACACAGAAGAAGCTCCCAGCTCCTGGCTTCGGCTCAGCTTCGGCCATGTGGCCATTTGGGGAACGAACCAGCGGATGGAGCACCTTTCTCTCTGCCTCTCTCTCTCTGCCTCTGCCTCTGTAACTCTGCCTTTCAAATAAATAAATGAAGAAAAAAAGGACAGAAAGCCAAGAGGCGCGGTGGGTTCAGCCGCAGCCTGGGACGCCGGCACCCCGGCACCCCCGTCAGGCACGGGTTTCGGTCCCAGCCGCTTTGCTTCCCGACCAGCGGACTCTGGCCAAGGGCGTGGGCCCTGCCAGTCACCCAGGAGACCCGGCTGCAGCTGCAGGCTCCTGGCTTGCACCTGGCCCAGCCCTGGGGGAGTGAGCCAGAGAGTGGAAGATCTGCCTCTCTTTCAAACGTATCTTCCAAGAGAGCGAGCAAGCGAACCAAGGGGATGTCTCTCAGCCCAGAGCCCCGAGCCCGCCCCCGGCCCGGCTCCGCCCCCCGCCCCCGCCCGGCTCCACCCCCCGCCCGGCCCCGCCCCCTGCCCGGCTCCGCCCTCACCATGTACTCCATGTTGGAGGCCGCCGGCTGCACCTGGCCACGGAGCTTGTTGTGCAGCATCAGGATCTCCTCGCGGTCGGCCCTGGAGATGGCCCTGCGCGCGCGGGCGTGGGGCGCGTCCTGCCGGTACTTGGCGAGCAGCTGCTCCCAGTGGGTGGCGTTGGGCAGGAAAAGGCCTTGGGCCCCCCAGGCCAGCAACACCAGCCCCAAGGGCAGGACGCCGGGCGGGACGCGGCGCATGGCTCCCTGCAGCAACACCGGGCTTCCGGGCTCCTGAAGCAGAGGCGGGTGCGAGAGCCCTGGAAGGAGGAGAGGCAGCGGGAGGAGGGAGAGTGAGTGTGCGGCCACCATGGCCTGGCCAGAGCCGGGAAGAGGCAAGCAAAACCCCCCCTTTCGGAGACGTGGACACCGACACTGCGGCGCACAGACGCCCAACGTCAGGACAGAGGTGGGAAGGGGAGCTGGGGGTCAGGGCCCACGACAGGAAGTGGATCAGGGGTCAGGGCCCACGACAGAAGTGGATCAGGGGTCAGGGCCCACGACAGGAAGTGGATCAGGGGTCAGGGCCCACGACAGAAGTGGATCAGGGGTCAGGGCCCACGACAGGAAGTGGATCAGGGGTCAGGGCCCACGACAGAAGTGGATCAGGGGTCAGGGCCCACGGACACGAAGCCCACGGACACGAAGCGGATCAGGGGTCAGGACTCACAGACAGGAAGTGGATCGGGGTCAGGGCCCATGGACACAAAGCGGATCAGGGGTCAGGACCCACAGACAGGAAGTGGATCAGGGGTCAGGGCCCATGGACAGAAAGCGGATCAGGGGTCAGGGCCCACGACAGGAAGTGGATCAGGGGTCAGGGCCCACGACAGGAAGTGGATCAGGGGTCAGGGCCCACGACACGAAGCGGATCAGGGGTCAGGGCCCACGGACACTAAGCGGATCGGAGGTCAAGGCCCACGGACACGAAGCGGATCAGGGGTCAGGGCCCACGGACACTAAGCGGATCGGGGGTCAAGGCCCACGGACACGAAGCGGATCGGGGGTCAGGGCCCATGGACACGAAGCGGATCGGGGGTCAGGGCCCACGGACACGAAGCGGATCAGGGGTCAGGGCCCATGGACACGACGCGGATCAGGGGTCAGGGCCCACGGACACGAAGCGGATCAGGGGTCAGGGCCCATGGACACTAAGCGGATCGGGGGTCAGGGCCCATGGACACGAAGCGGAGCAGGAGTTGGGCCAGGGGCTTCCAACGGGCTCTCCTGGAGTGGTCTCCCCTCGCCTCGCGCCCTCAGCACCCAACTTCTCACTGGGTGGGCCTTTCCCCCACTCGGGGCTCAGCTGGGTCTGTGGCCTGATTGACTTCTACGCCCCCCTCCCCCCAAAGGCACTGCTGAAGTCACTCACATCCCCAAGGGGCACGCCACGGACCAAGGTTAAGAGCAAACCTCCCAGGTCCTGCGAAGTGAGACTCAGTTTACCCAACGTGCTTGGCACGGAGTATCCGTTTTGCTCTGGATCCAAGACAGGACACTGTCCCCCGCCACCTCGGGGAGCTGGCACTGGGTGGGTGGGCAGCGGAGGAAACCTACAGTCCCACACAGCGGGGCGGGGCTGACACAGCGCAGGAGGCCCAGGGGCCACAGTGAGGGCCCTCGGGCTGCACGGGAGGGCTGCGGCCCTGCCACCAAGCTGCCCCTCCTGGAGCCTCGAGGGGTTGGGTCCTCGGGGAGACGTCCCTGGGTCTTTGCCCACACGGCTTCGCTTGCCAAGCTGGCTCTGGCTGCAGGAGGCCGTCCTCGGGGACCAGACGCGGACAGACGTCAAGACAGGCATCCCGGGCAGCGGGCCAGCCCCAGCCAGGCTATGGGAACGCCATGGTTCCCACCCGCACCCTGGCAACACTCCAGGCCCCTCTGCGCCCGAGAATAACGGCCCCCCTCGGCCCCTCCGCGGCGAGCTGGACACAGCTCCCCCCTCAGAAGGCGGCCTCCGGGGCACAGCCCGGCTCGGGGGGGGGGGGACCTGTGGGCCCTCTCCACCAGGGCCTCAAAGCAGGAACACAGACATTCCCAAGCCCCCCCCCCCCCCCGCTGCAGGCCAGGCTCACGGCCATATATGCACATTCCCAGCGCGCAGGGCCAGCCCAAGCAGCAGGACGTCAGGCTGAGATCGGAGGACAGGCGCTGACATCACCGGGTGTCCCTCCTGACGTCAGGCGAAGGCTCAATCTGCCCCAAGCCCACGAAGCAGAAGCGGCTCCGTGACTCCACTGCGGCCCGAAAGATGCAAACCTCGGTGCGCCAGGAGGCAGGCGTGGATGTCATGCCAATGACGACGGAGACCCAGGACCCTACTTCTCTCATTCGTGGAGACTTTTGTCTACGCCACACAGACACGGGTGTGTGTTCTGTGTGTCTTTGTACACGCGTGTAGACTGGGGCTGTGATTAAACCAGGACTAAATTCAGACCAAGTTCACGGCGCGGGGGAGGAAAAGAAGTGGGGAGGGGAGTCCGGGAGTCTTCGCCTCTCAGAGCTTATTTTCAGCTTCAAATCTCAAGCCAATAGGAGGGCAGGCGGACGCGTGCTCACTGAGGGGCCAGGCCCGGGAGCAGGAACTGCGCACCGTGACCCAGGGGCCATCCGCAGGGGCAGCCCCTGGCCGTTTCTATTGTCTTCAAAACTCTGGGTGAAATCGAACAAAAGGCCGGCACATGCACACACAGTGCGGGGCTGGTGTTGTGGTGCGGCGGGGAAAGCCCGCCACGTGGGCGCCGGTTCAAGCCCCGGCGGCTCCACTTCTGATCCAGCTCCCTGCTAATGCACCTGGGAAAGCAGCAGAGGACGGCCCAAGTACCTGGGCCCTGCACCCACGTGGGAGACCCGGATGGAGCTGACTCCGCCCCAGCTGTCACAGTGAACCAGGAGATGGGAGATTTCTCTCTGCATCTCTCCTTCTCTGTCACTCTGCCTTTTAAATAAAGAAAAATAAATCTTTAAAAACATTAAAGATAAATGATGGCTGGCTCGGCTGCATCCTCCCGAACACGTACTCATCCCCGGGTGCTCCCAGGCCCCTGCCCCCCGTGCAGCATCAAGGCATTACAGGGACACCCGCGGCCAGAGCAGGGCCTTCCCAGCAGCCTGCAGGGACAATGCACGGTCTCTCGAGTGGGCCGTGGAGCCGGGAGGGGCAGGGACTCAGAGGGAGCTCCCCGCGGGCGTGGGCACAAGCAGGAGATGAGTGGCCTCTCCAGGTGCCTTTCTGCACCCGCCACAGTCGCTGGCCAGGCCGACGCACACCTGCCCGTGGCCAACCCCGCACAGCACGGAGCCGGGCAGCGCGCCAGGGACTGGGTCTCAAAGTGGTCTGGCCCGGCGGGAGCCCAGGGGCCCTGGCAGTGGGAGTGGGGGGCGAAGCGACAAGGCCACAGCGGCACAGCCCCTGCGGAGGACACCGACGACTTTAAGCCGAAAAGCGGCACCACACTCAGAGCCAGCACAGGCCCCGGCACCTCACACGGTGACCTTTAAGAGGTCACGGGGTTCAGGTGTCCTGGGGCTGGGCCCTAACCCAGCAGGATGGGGTTGAGATGGAGAGCAGGTGAGGACGCAGGCCCCCAGGGGAGAAGTCGGCGTCCACAAGCCAGGGCAGAGGCCCCGAGAAACCAGCCCGCCCTCACCTTGATCGACCACCTCACCTCCCCGCCTGTGAGACCATCAGCTGACCTCTGACCCCGGCACGAGGGATGCTCCCGTGCCCCACCCCCACCCCCGCACAGCACTTCTGCTCCCCGATTCGCCCAGGGGTCGCCAGCCACGAGGCCCCTTAGGGAGGCCCCCTGCTTGCTCTCCTGGCCTCCCAGCTCACCCGAGGCGGCCTCCGCGGGCTGCACGACAGACAGATACAGGCTTCCTGGAAGCCTCTGCTCTCTTTGGCCAGAGTTGCAAAACCAAGCCCTAAGCCCACACGCAAGATAAGGCTGCAGGGCCTCTTGCAAACACACCAGACGCCGGGGCGTGACCGAGGCTGGCAGGCGACCAAAGAAAGCTCTCGAGTCCAGGACGCACGGCCAAGGCCCACGCCTGGCACGGCACAGCCGCGGGGACACAGTTCCACGGCGTGGTGTGGCGCTCACACACGTCTGCACCTGCCGGGAGGGAGCTGTCTGCATGCCCATTTTACAGCCCCCGAGACTGAGTCCAGAAGGCACTAACTGGCAGATGAGAGGTGGCGTGGCTGATGAGGGAGGGCACCCGGAACCCAAGCTTGCCCTCGTGTGCACAGTCTCACTCTGGGAGACTGTATTAGCCCTCCGACCGCCCCCGCCACCCCGGCCAAGGGACCGGCAGACCCCTGCCCCGTTCCCAGCAGGGTCTCCACGCCCGGGCTCGTGGTTGGGTCGGTTGCATCACCTCGTCCAGCCGCTCTCAAGGGTGTTTAGCTAAGTCTGCCAGAAACACGGATCTCAGGCTGAGCCTGGCGGGCGTCAGCTCCGTGTCTGGGCCGAGCCCTCGGCTTCCGCACATGCTGTTCCCAGCGCCCGTCCCGTGACCCTGGCCTGCCCCAGCCCTGCCCACGCTGCACAGTCATCCCCACTCCGGAGAGCAGCGCAGGGGTTGCCGCTTCCTGGAAGCCTCTTCCAGCCGCAGACCTGGAGCCTGATTCACGACTGACAAGCCAGCGGTCAGCAAGTATCCATGGAATGAGTGTGCGCCCCCTGCCCCCAGGCCAGGACAGGCCAGGGAGCCGTATAAGGGCTGAGTGAGCGCAGCCCAGAGAGCCGGGTGGGTCCGGTCCTGCCCCTGCCCCCTGCCTGCCGTGGCCTTGGCACTTAGCTCCTCTGGGCCCCGGTCTTTACGTCTCTAAGGTAAGAAGGGGTGAAAGGCAGGCCCGGAGGCTGGAAGGAGTGACCAGGGTCACGGACATGTGTGCTTGGCCAGCACTGGCTGCCATGGTAACGATGCCAACACCAGCCGGGCCACAGATGCGCCGGCTGCAGTTCTAGAGCTGGAGAGAAGACGCAGGGGGAAGCGGCTTTCCCTGCGAAGTATCTGAAAGCCCTGGGGTCGGGTCGGTGCTGTGGTGTAGCGGGTAAAGCCACAGCCTGTGGCACCTGCATCTCACATGGCCACTGGTTCAAGTCCCGGCTGTTCCACTTACAATCCAGCTCCCTGCTGTGGCCTGGGAAAGCAGTGGAGGATGGCCCAAGTCCTTGGGCCCCTGCACCCGCGGGGGAGACCTAGAGGAAGCTCCTGGCTCCTGGCTTTGGTTTGGCTGTTGTGGCCATTT